ACTGAGCCTCTGAAGACAAGGACCTTCCCTCCCTGCTCTGCCCCGACTGCCCCACCGGGCAGCCCGCGATTTGTGCCTTTCACCGGCCACTGCAGAGACCCCTCTTGGCGGCCAGTTTGGTGCTGGAATAAGGATTACTGTAACACAGTTTTGTTTTTATCAACCTCTTCTGGGTCTTCTCACCTGGGTTGAGGTGCAGCAGTTGCTTTGAGGCTGGTATTTTTATAAATGGCTTTGTCTCTCATCTTTGCAAATGATGAATTGCAGGCCAACTCATTTCCATCTCAGGGACCTTCCACAGATGTGCGTGTGCTGCCCCTTTATAGGTGGGACCAGACGACGGGAACCCGGGGCAAGAATCACACCTGCGGGGTTCTATTCCTGGGACTTTCTCTGCCTCTCCCTGAGACTTTAAGCCCCTGTAGCTACCACATTTTTGTTCCCTCTACACCCGTGCTGTAAATTTGGCGTGTTATTTTGTGGATTTTTTTAATCAGTACACATTTTTATTATATAATGAATATATTCCTAGTAGGGCGTTAGTACAAATACATATAGCATCTTAATCCTTTTGATGTCCTCTTGCCCATTGCACTTTTTAAATATTTCAGATATTTTATTGCAAAAGCTCTACTGCCAAATAGTATCTTTAACAGTAATAGAACCTGTTACGATTCTTTTGTAAACTAATTCAGTATTCGCAGCAAGCAGGAGATGTTAAAAAGCAAAGGTCTGTGGCCAGAGGGGCTGAATGCACACCCTGTAAATGTAGAAAGAAGTTGATTTTAGACCTAATCTTAGAAATCCTTCTTTCATGCTATTGTGAATGCATGTGATACAGCCCCATCTGAATGAATACAAAATATATTGAAAGGCACAATGAATTAATTTTTTAAAAAGCTACCCAAAAGGAAGAGATGTAATTTTGGAATATATTCTTAATATCTGAGGCCAATGTTTTGGTGGACCCCAGGGGCCTCTGTAAAACATTTTATGTATCTCTGTCACTCCGAGAGGTCCAGAGACTGTAAAATAATCCTCCCATGACCAGAGTAGCTTTAAGCTGTACATGGTAAACCTTGGTTTCTATGGACTGCAAGGAGGCCTGACTAATTAAAACTTAATTGGTGATTTATCGGTGGCATGTTATGGAAGAATCACGTAAATTATCTGCTGTGGCAGAAGTAATAATACAAAAATACATGAATGGAAAGGAAGACATAATTACTGACAAAATGTCCTTCTGAAGAAACGGGAGACGGCTTTGCTTTCACTCTCAGAAGTCCTCCTATGGAGTTTTTCCCTTACGCTTGCCAACCCAAGTTCCTCAGAATATCTGTTCTTAACGAACAGGAAGCCGGGTTTTCAGGACCTCATGTGTGACCTTATGGACTTGGGGCCAGATCCCTGGGTTTGAGTCCCAGCCCCTCAACTGGCCACCTCACCCTGGCTGAACCAGAGGCTGTGGCCTTCCAAGCACAGGTTCCCATCTGTGAGCAGAGTAATCGCCCTGTCTGCTTATCCCTGGGCAGTTCTGTCAAATGATCGCCTTTAACTGCATTCTCGTTAGCAACGGCATAGCGATAATAATATAATCATAAAATGTGCTAACAATGTGGAGGTGGCCGGGGTGACTGCAGTACTAACAGCGTTATTTTCCAGAGCATGAACAATATGTAGAAGGGAAGGGTCAGAAGCGGCAAAGCGCCTGCGTTCCTGTTCCAAGACGTCCTCAGCAGGGCCTTCTCCTGGCTCCCGCCACTGTCGCGTCACGTGACACCTGGGGAGGCAACGGCTCCCATGCCTCCAACAAATTAACTAGTTTTCACACATGTTTTGCAGCTGTCCTGGAAACAGGCTAGCAACTTTTAAAAAGGACTGTAAGGTATCGGCATCGTGTGTGTGAAAGGAGGCATCCTTTCAAAACCCTGTCACCTCACCTGCACAGCATGGAAACAATACCAAGTTGTGCTTGTGTTTTTCTTGTTGTTCATCTTTTTCCCGTCGAATTACTTTAACTGCTAAGTTTTCCCTCTGTAGAATTCTGGTAAGGTTAAACATTATACATAAGTGGCAGTTACAATACATATCTTAATATAAACCTTACCCCTGAACACGCATAATTCAAGTAAACATTTACAAAAGGCACGCTGGCTGTAAATAGAAATGTGGGAGGGGTGTGTGAACAGTTTTTATTTTATTGCTGTTGGCTAATATTACAATTGAATGAAATACCTGTCTGTACACAGGTATCCTACCAGAGAAAGCTTTTTATTTTTCCAGTAGGCTTCAGAGCATTGCTTACTGAAAATCAGACTCACCAAAAGCCTGACTAGAAGCCCTTAAGTAATTAGGGTTATTGTTTGAGGTTTGTAAACTCTGAGTTCACAGGCATTACCAAAAATATGACCTATCCCATGTAAATTAATTTTCTGGCAATTTCTAAGTGCCTAAATTACTATACTTTTTTTGGGGGGGTGAATTAAAAGTAGATAAGCCCCTATCATCTTTGAGTTCATGGGTTAATCGATTCTTAGTGATTCCAAGCCATTATAAACATTAATTATCACTGCATGTGCAGTATGCTGTAACTCACAATGGACTCAAAGGCTATAGGTATGGCTGGCTATTCTCCCTGTGCCAAATGGCCTCTTATTGTCGTGCTTCTTGAGTTGGTTTGTCTAACTTTTCATCTTTTTATTTCTTCCTTTTATATTTGTTATTTCTCTTTGTTCCTAGCAGGCGAATTCTCTTTTCCTTTCAGCTGTGCTTCCCCCCCCCCACTAATATCTTCTGTATGCTGGACCTCCAGCTATCAAGGTTATGAGAATATGTCTCCTATACCAAAAAAAAAAAAAA